GCCAGAATTCAGATATAGGCGTTTCACTAGTTTTTGCATTTCATGACCGAGGTACTGCCTTGCAACACGCAACGAGCTCCTGGTGGTCCAGTAGTTTACTATCTTTGTCACCAGAGTATGTTCTTTCTAGATTTTTGACTGTCTATGGGATTCCGATGTACTTTAACACCAATTTGAATTCGGGATTTACTGCTGTTCACTTTCGGCGGATCTGTTTGCTTTTTGTATTGTTGCTCTGTGTAGAAAGAAAATCTTGCAAGCTTCTGATATCTATCTTAGGTTCTGTTCAACTTATGCGTATAAAAAGTGCTTTGTTTTTCACCTCTGAGTTTACCTTGTATCAGACCAAATCCGTGTATTACTCTTCCCGAACGTTCTGCTATATTGTCTGCTCTTTTCATGGCCAGACTGTGCATCCTTTCTCATGGAATGTTTCCTATGTATTGATAATAATAATAATAATAATAATAATAATAGTCGCTTAGCTGCGCCACCCTTCCGGTGTCTAGCTTCCATGCCGCTCGACGGAAGCATGAGAGCTCAGATACTGTCATTTTGCTCAAGCCTAGTCAGGAGCGATTGTGATGCAGAGGTTGGGCTCGAACCCAGGACCTTCCGGGGAGTTATTTCACGCCTTAACCGCTGAACTAGTTCCGAAAGTAAGCACGTCCGGTTACAGCACGAGACTTACGCTTGAGTCAAATCGTTGCTAGTGTAAACCGCACACAGACATTTTACAGTTAATGTTTCATTTACTCTAAGCTAGGCATCGACGCAGACTCCAACGCCAAACGTTTTTGTGTCTACTGATACGTTTCGTCACCCCTCAATCAATTCCTCATGTTTTGATGCCTTAGAGCACTACAGCTGATGCAACCGAACTTTTCCGTATACTTCGGAATATCAAGGAGAGAGTATTGCACACACACACACACACACACACACTATTTCTTACTGATTTGACTGTTGTCGATCTGTGTGACCGTAACTCCGTGTGTCTAGGTTCGATGTCTTACTTATCCCATACTTGCAAAACTGGAGCTGGTTCCGTTTCCGACTACAGAGCAGTCTTGCACCTTTATCCTAATCAATAAGTGGATTTTGCTAATGGACGCTTCGTTATCTTTAAGAATCTGACTTCTAGTGAGTAGTCAGGAAACACCGCAAATTTCTGAGTAACATCAGCACTATGTGCGCATGTTTAACAAAAGCAAATCCTAACTTAGCAATCGGTCGCGTATCAGTAGCGAAGGTTTTTCGCACTCGCCATGGGGTAAGATCATGGTAATACAACGCGCCTCCTTAGCTTGGGGCCCCTGAAAAGGAGCAACAAGCTGCACTTCTTTGTCAAAATGTACTGGATTCAAGGATAAGGCATGGAGTGGTTTAGACTCTATGACAGAATAAAAGGACAATTGTGTGAACAGTTTGCAGAAACCAAAATAACCCCGGCGAGTTCAAAACGCATCAACCAGAAAACTACAGGAACAGCTCTCCCTTGAACTGTGTTGGTAAGCAACTGTTGTTGTCTTATCAAACCAAGCACAAAAGTATGGCATTTTTCTTTCGACAATCCACCATGTTTGTTATTCTGGCCTCCGGTGATAATCTCATTATGTTCAATATATCAACAACTATTGGTATTTTCAATCATAGATGGGCTGATTTGATCTGACTGGCTTGAATAAACTGTCTCCAGAAGCCTCGTTTTTAACCGGGGCGACTGAATCTGCGTTCGTTGCCTGAAAGAGATTTCAGAAATCTCGTCTAGGCTGACGTAAAAGGCTTTCAAAACCAGTCCATTCGTGTTCAGCCCGTCTACTTTTTTATCTCAGATTAGAATGACCATATGGAATGCAGTCGAACTGGATTGGTTGAAAACCTAAAGCCTGGTTTTGGCACCACGTGTATAGGAACATCCGTGCTATCAAAAGGTCTGCCACTGGTAGTTTTTCTTAACGTTCCAAATGTTGTGTTTAAAAGCCTGTGTCCGAGTCTAGGTTTTACAAGGTCTTTTGAAATGTGCGCATAATTGGTTTGAGCTGTTGACGTGCTGTCGACAATAGCTTAACTCGTTCAAGTGTTCTCCTGCATCCAAGGTCTGGTCAAATTGACCAGATAGAGGTGGTGGCTATTATTCCTTCAAATTTCCAGTGTTAAAATAAAAAACAAGGTCCTTTATGGGATATGCTGATAAAGAATAATGCATATGTCGTCGGTTTCGTTCAGCTGTGATACCCTTTCGGTGCCTAGTTACCATGCCACCCAAAGGAAGCACGAGGGCTGGGATACTGCCAGATTGACCAGCCTAGACAAGAGAAGTCGGGAGGCAAAGGTGGGGTTCGAACCACGGACTTTCCGTTCAGTGAGTTCGCCCCACAACCACTGAGCCACCTTTAAACTGGAGAGTGGGGGGGGGGGGCGTTTGTATCCTGTTTACAATTCGTTTCCAAATTTGCAAGAAATTTTCATTCTAGGCACTCGTTTGACTGCCACTACTGTGCAACTGGCTGTACGCACACCTGTCCTCGCTCGATAGTAGGCTAAGTTGTTAGGTGAACAAAGATAGTCGTTCCCGAAGAATACACTTATTTGCAAATCAATCTGGTTTTCACGAGAGACTCAACTGAATCTCTCGTTTGTGATATTCTACAACTGAATGTGCTGCACACAGGTCGTCTCATAATTCAGTTGGATTCGAGATATCGCAGTACATTTCCATAAAGGACTGCGCCTACCTGATGAGCCTCAAGAAGGGCAAAACGGGTCGTGGGCTGTCGAAGAGTTTTCAGCAACCTTGCGAGTAGTTTCCCTTCTGTTACTGCGACTTAAGAGACCTCATTTCACAATATGAGTGGCTTGAACTGCAAGCAAGTTACGACAACTAATTATTGCTTTCTGTGCTTACAAGATCGCTCAAGTGGCTATGGAATGTGAACACAAACGATAGATCATACATTGCATCATCGTTCCTAATGACGTCCACAGTGCACACACGCATGCAGTCTGCGTAACAATCACCTTGAATGCTCATGATCAAGTAATACGGTTGAAATAAGACTGTTACCAGAGTTTGACGGACGAATTTAGCTTTTTTGGGTAAAAATCTCGTCGGATGCTAAAAGGGTCAGCCTGGTGGGCGTTTCGGGATCAGTCACCTAGGCATCCGATTGATAGCTTTTCCCTCCACCAATACTGCTTTGAAATAGGTTGAGTCAAAGGAGGATGCATGATCTTCAGCTAATGGTAGGTAGTCACGATCCTAATAACTGCTTTCATGTCCATATTAGACGCCTCTCTGGCTACTGCAGTCCTATAGAATGTAATGAAACCGACTTGGACCAGGAACCCTTGAAATAGGAGACAAGAAAAGGTACATCTCAAATAGCGCCGTACATGCTTTTGGGGTAGTTGCATTCGTGTGCTTGAGGATCGTGTTTTTATTTATGAGATGTTAGATGCATGCCCCCATTTGGGACATCGCGTGACTGGTCGAACACTGTGGACTGATTACATTTTGCTTCGATGAAGTAATGCGAATTTGTCCATGTTGGTAAATTCGAATGATCATATTTTATTTGGGCGCAATGAGGCCATCAATCAAGCTGGCGAAAGAAACTTCCAGACAAACACCGAAACCGGCAGTGAAGCATCGGTACTAAGCATTGATGGGCTGTCGACGAGGGTGATGGTGACGACCGACATCCCTCTGTTCGAGCCGATGCTGTGGTCTGCGTAGGTGTAGCTGCCTGATACTACCCACCTGAAATAGTCCTTGTGACGCAGGGGTCCTCACACGGTAGATCTGACACAGTGGTAAACGTGTCATAGTCTCGTTCAAGCGGATGAAACTGGAACTTCCTCTTTTTTTTCTACCACTGACTGAATGGCCAGCGCCTGTCACCCTTATGGAACGGCCGACGTATAGTGTCGAATTGAATCCTATGAGAAGTCCTCGTTGCAATTTTATAAGGAGAATATATTTTACAGAATCCTCGGCAAAAGCAATGGCTTCCAAATATGACAGGAACGTACAACAACCACTCACGACCCACACGATTATTGTGAACATATATGCATAATGCGTACATCGAAATTATCTAAAAGCTCCCCAAGCAGCCTGGTGCCTAAATTCTTGGAATGATGTGACATTGGTTCTTAAAGCTACACGCTCGTTTCATAACTGATGACAGATGGTGGATTATTCCACACCTTTTCACCCTAGTGAGAGGATGCGTGGAGATTTAACTTAATTTTCAGCTTCAAATAAGAACATTCCGGTTTCTGTAGTAGTGGTACAACTTTGGAAAGAAACTCCCTAAGACCAGTGTTACACTTTTGTTCTGCAAAGAGAGATTCGCCAAATTTCCGAATTATCGGTTTCCATCCATTCGATAACGACTGAAAAGGGGAGTTACGTTGATATTTATTGCAAAAAATGTCAAAACCACACAGTAAATCGGCTAAGTGATTCAGCAGAGGCAACAGTAGGGAAATCAACCAAATCCAGCTCGTGACTTTATCAAGCTGGCTCGTGTGGACTAAAATATGGTCATTATGCGAGATGGTCTCTCTAAAGAACATCCAAATTTCCTTAGAGCAGAGTTAAATTTGCGCTTATCTTCTGGTCTCCCCTGGGATATACTGATGAACTGTATTTGCAAGGTCTTACTTGTTGTATACTGCCTCGCTTATAAATAAAAAAGTCCGCAATAAATGAACAAACCATTTTGTTTGTCCTGATTGATACCGCTCGTCCCGTTCGACTGCTTGTTAGTTCACCTGACTTGGTGGAAGAAAGACAAAGATATCAGCTGTCAGCCGTATCACATGATCAGTAGAGGCGGGTGTCCGAAGTATCAACCGAACGGTATATTTGAATTTCGGTCGATCATTTACAAGTTTAGTTACTTCCGTCACTGTCATACCCGGTGATCTGGCATACAGATGGTATGTATAAGTCCCTTCCCTGTACACTTATTTCGCTTTTTTTCTTTCAGGAACTTGGAGTAACATGGACCCTCGCGATTACAGTCTTTTTGACCTGTTTTGGTTCTTCCTTTATTATTGGATACAACATCGCCATCATTAATTTACCAGGCACAGTGAGTTCACAGTCCCTAATATGGTATCTACGTTTTTCGGGATTTTTGTTCAAAATGATTTGACATGTCTAGTCCCCAAATTTGTGTCCTCATCATTTGTCATAAACCATCAAGCGCAACGTCACTGCGCATTGACAATGTCTACTCATATGATGAGGAAACGTCTGCAAGCTGGTTGTCAAACTTGGTGAGCAAACCAGTCGCCACCTAATCAACAGTTTGTCATTGAATTGGTGCCTAGTTGCCATGCCATCCGAAGGAAGCACGAGGACCGGGGTACTCCCTGGTTCCCAAGCCTAGACGGGAGAATTCGAGATGCAGAAGTTGGGTTCGAATCACGGACCTTCTGGTCGGTAAACTCACGCCGTACCGTCGTTAACGTCATCCTAATTCATCTTCGAACCGCAACTTCCTTCGGACTAACCTAGTTCCAAAATGTTGACACTGGCTCCCAAGAGATGCACCTGGGATGAGGCTTGCCTTGGGTCCTCACTTATTTGTTTCTTCATGTTATTTGTGCTCGCAATATCACTTACAGACCCATGAACTCCTACAAGCTACTTCCGCATAACCAATAAGTCTTACACCAAGTGATTGGAGAACTGCCGGTGTCATGGTTTGGATTTCAAAGTCGTTATTCACTATGCTCAGTTAAATATAGACAGCCTGTATTAACTCAACTAATCCTGCTTCTTCATGCTTGTTTTGGATATTCAAAAACAGTTCTTGATCAAACTCCTTCACGATTAGCCTTACACTGAATGATCCGAATTTACTGTGTTGTTCTATCAGAGGACATCAAGATGTTTCTGAGGCCCAATCGATATTCTTCTAAGTTTCCCTATAAACGCAGTGTTTATCTCACTATGGAGGTGTGGCCGCCTGGTTTGAAGCAAGCCCACAGGCGATTGGGTTCAGGTAACACTGGGTAGTAATCAGCGAATATTATTCACGTGCCAATTTGAGTGACTTACGCTTCCGTAGCTGGAAAGAGAATCGGAGCTTTACACTAATATCAATACCGGGAATGTTTGGTCCTGTTTTGCGAACAAAGTATCGTCCCCATCCACAAATGTTCTTTCTTCCTTCTGAATACGATGTTATCCCGAAGATGTATTCCGGTTCAATCTCGTAGTTCAGGAAAACATATAGAGTCTGGATCCAATCCATATCGCCTGATTATGGTGAAACAAGAGAGAGAAACGGCCAACGTTAGTTATTACTGATCGAATGCTCTTACTCGACAAAGAGTATCAGAGCTGGCTCCCTTCCCCCCACGTAACGCTCTGCAAAGTAAAAATATTCTGATGCTAAATTAAACATGAATCTCTCACGTCAGCATTCTACAGTGTACACCCTGAACAAAGTGATATCAGATGCATCATAGGCTTTTCCAATGCATGCGTTTTGGGCATCTACTCACTGGAGACTCCTGGTCCTGTAGGTAAACTTCGTCAAGTATGGTCACGCTGGAACGTACTTCCAGGGCCTTCCAGACCAGTCACGTGACAACATAGTGTCATCACAAGAATGGACGTGGTTGAATATTAAATTTTGTTTTATCAAGCAGTCGAATCCTTACAAAATCAGCCCTGAAATATCGCAGCTGAAGTCGATATATTCCTTACATTATTTCCAGCGCACCATTATACAATCGGGTGTTCGAGGGTCATGTTCGGTCGAACAGCCACTCATAGAATAATCAATCGATTCCGTTTTATACACTTAACAAGTGGGTGGACCTCACCGCTGTACACTTAAAAGCGTGACCTTCTTTCTACACCAGACAGTCAATTTCATGACTGTTTGGATGGAGTGTAATTACCCTTACCGTGAGTTTGCAATGCACTGTTATTTTTCGTCTGGCGTGACCAGTTGAAATGACATTCCTCACCCGCCGGTATTTCTACGGCCTTATCAACTAGTCAAGGGCACGACGAAAAGTTGGTTGGCAGGTTTTGATCCCACGTTCTTCGTTTGTTAATACCTACATAGCCCTCTACGAAAGGTGAAAATAAATGAGGTTGAACGATGTATTACACTCTCATCTTTGTCTCGGGGTCCTACATGAACTTCAGGGGCTGGCCGTTTACCCAATCAAACACTGAGCTGAGGAGATGCTCGTTCAGGACAAAGGTTTGACCGGAAACGTCCAATTGTTATGAATTCCGGAAGCTCTTGATACAATTCTACGCTGTACGATTTGGAGAGCCTTTTAGTAGGATTGCCAGTCGCCTCTGCAAATTTAAGTGTCTTGTAACCACTCAACACATTATCGTGAATTCATATAAACTACACTTGAATTCCACCCGACACCGTCCATGGCGAGGAGAACGAAGTAGCTATTTGGATAGCTCGAAGACGCTCATGTTGGCTTTATTGTTGTTTCGATGCTTTGCCCTTTTGATGAAATAAAATCGGCTGAACTTTGAGCAGATGCACAACGACCAGCTGCCTTTGTAGCCCAGGTAACATGTGCAGCTATACTCACCATTTGTGAAGGTATCATACGGGTCCGCCTACTGTGCTCATAATAGCCTGACATGTAGGTGAGGACAACCACGGATGGGTTTTTGACTTTTACAGGATGTGAAGTGGAACTAGCGACTCGCAACATGGACTTAGTCAACACCGTCTTATAAGTGACAATTATTTGACCGACAGCGAATATACCAGTCAATGCAGCCAATGGATCCTTAGAGCATTACATATACCAAATAGGTATATACGTCACGCGCGTTCAGTTAGTACAGTTTGAATGAGAATTTGAACAACAACACTAACCAGGTAACGCCATCCAGCGAGCTGTACTAACTCATCGAATTTTCAGTGACGTTAAAGGCCCATTAGTGACAAAACATACGACCTAACTGGTTGGTCTTCATTTGCGCTCCATGGTCAACCCAAGAGGATTTACTTGACACTTTTGGCTTGTCAGTTCATCAGTGTTCACCCTCATAGATAATATAAATGGAATTTCGAAATTTTATGGAGTCTTCCTCTTCAAGAGGATGGACAACTCAACGTTTCCACAAAATACCACTGGAGTCTGGGAAATGTGCGAGATGTGTACCACGGAATCCACTCTTGAATGTGACAAATCTGCAACAGAGATGGAATAAGTGTAAGCCAGAGCTGTGACCAGTGAGCTTTATTTCAAGATATTTCTGGTCAAACGTCGGTTCTGTTGTCCTTCGCTTAATGGGCTAAGGCAATCTGGCCGAATGATTATCGATTCAACGTGGGCATTCCCTCCTTAAGTGGCATTTGTAAAATCCTTTTATCTTAACTGAATTGAACAACTAAGTATCGCTTTGCTTCCGGTTGCAAATGACAACGGCATCTTTTTATATCGATTTGATAGAAAGTCTAAACGTAGCACCTGGTATATGTTCTTCTATTTCACACGTTTTCATATCTTTGCGTAAGGAAATACGACGTTTTCTTCCAATTTTATCTGATCAGTCGGAGTCCGATATTCCTCTCAGTCTGTCTATCACAACACGTTTTCTGTCGTTTTAGTTCATCAAAAAATTCCTTCAAGAAAAAATTCTGAACAACTCGACAGGCTCAGGCATTGTTGATGCGGAATTTCTGTACGCTCAGGCTAGTACAGCATTTGTGGTAGCCGGTGCTATTGGTGCATTCAGTTCTGGATGGGTGGCGGAACTTGTTGGAAGGTAACGTTACCCCTGTTTGGTTAGCTTTTTTGTTGCTCTCCGTCACAGTAGCAGGTAGACTATTCACATTGGCCAACTGAACCATGTCACGATACATCCTCTTCATGACATCCTCATGAAGTGAGGCATATTAGGTAGTATTAGATGGGTGGTCGCAACGGGAAGATATATAGTGCTGACCATCGATAGTGAGTGCCATACACATAGCCCGGACAATCTTTATGACATGGTATCGCACAGAATTTTCTTTGTACTGTACACTTGACTGGGTCTATTCATGATGGGACACTTTTGTGGACCACAAGCACACCCAATCATCCTCAATCTTCTGAAGCAATTCCAGCTTCTGTCTCCAATCCGTGAGTTTTCCTGCAGAATTCTTCTCCGATACGCTGAAATATGAATGGGGTGTCACTTACTTTCAAACTTGATATTTGTCAGATGTGGATGAAGCATACGATTGCTGAATCAATCGACAAGTGATGCGACAACATCCTGATTCTTCTGTGGCTGGAAAATTGTTAATCCGCTTTGCACCTGTTTAGTTTGATCTCAGCAATCTACCCTCTGAATAAAGGTGAATTTACATCCGTGCAACTGCCGAACGTTACTCACTCTTCTTGTGATTGGATCACTCGAAGCAGTAACTCTTCACGTGTCCGCAGACGCAACACCTGAGACGAGCATGGTGGTGTACAATAAAATCGAAGTTGAGTTTTGTAACCCATCCGCAAAGTTAGCTGAAGTCGGGGCGCTGTTTGTCATGACTTGTCCTCCGTTAGCTCCATGTCTGATATGCTCGTGTAGTAAAAACCGCGCTTTATCTAAGACTTAGGTCCCCCGAATTTTCACCGCATCTAGTCTGGTCGAGCGGAGTTGTGCGTTTCGAGATTGTTTTACATGGAAGGGGGAGTTTTGTTACATATCGACACGTCTCATTGTACCATTTATTTTGCGTCTGTATGTACGCACGTATTCAGGAGATTTACCTTTATTCACTTATATAGTTACAAATAACACTGTCTGAAATGTCCTATGAACATGGGTGGACTTTCATCAGTTAGATAACGAAATCGCATGAAGGATGTTTCTGGTTGCTTCTTGGATTAGGGATGAATTGGATCTCAAAGATGCTCTTGAAGTTCGGATTCACAAATGCGGATCACAAACGAACTTTTGGTCGTCGTATGGCAGAGGGTTATTAGAAGAATGAGTGTTGTAGTGTAAACTTACTTCCATGCCAGGCGTTTCCATCGGTGTTATATGTGAATGTGACCATTATTTGTTCAACTTAGCATTGAAACACGTGAGTAGAGGACAGGATGAACCTGTTTGTGGGTAGAAATTTCAATGATATACATCCCCGGATGAAATTATACGTCTACCTTGTTTTTTTCAAGCGCAACTGCAATTGTTTTTCCCGAACCTCCTAGTTACTGGAACAACATGACAAATTTGTCTTCGGACTCTTAGGAAGTGTACACTAGAAACGGGGAATGATCCTCGCATTATTACAACATAACCTCCATTGGTTGCTCTTGTTTGACTACGAACTGACCAAAGCAGACTGTTTTTGATCGAAACTATTTTCAACTATTCGACCGTAAATCTGGTAGGAATCACATTCTTTTCCAAAGTTATCTTTTATCAAGATATCCAATGTAGATTTGGCGCTTTGGTATTATATCTCGTTCTCTACGGGTCACATGACAGCCTGGGAAGCCGAATTAGCATACAGTCGTATTACACGTGACCATCTGGACACATCAACTCGTATCAAATCATGGACTGGGTACGCCAAAGCACTCATAAGTCCACTTCTCAATCTGACGGAATCCTCCATCTCATTATGTACGCCATGAAAACTGCATTCCTAAAAATTGCACCCAGCTTAACCACTGCAGACGCTCAGCGTTCAAGCTTCTCCGTTTTGCTGAGACAAAGTTCAGCACTAGTTTAGCAATCTGCTGACCTTGCAATGTAGTTATGAACAAGTTCCCAGTAAAAGTAAACTAGCTAATCAGGAACGTAGGTCTGTGTTTGTTCCAAGCGGGGCTAAAACACTACCATACCGATAACTTGGAGTGACCTTGGCTTTTCAGTAAGTACTCTTCTAATAATGGGGAATCCTCATTAGGATCGAAAGCTTCTGGATAAATCCAGTGCTATGGTTGACTATGGGTTGGTCACGATGTCCCGGGGAATCCGGCGAGGTGTAAGGAACTGCGATTGTGAGCGGATGGGGATTCCAGTACACTAGAAAGTGCAGCTAACAGGAAAGTAGAACTATGCACACTGTAATCCTAAAAGCCTTAAATCTCGACCAACCTCGGAACCTAGTCACTTGGCCTGACGAAGCTTTTGTGTCAAAAGCGAAACGTTGCCCAGCAACAAATCTACCGATTATCACCAAACTTTTTCGAAAACTAATCACACTATATTTTAGCTGTCTAAAACATCCTAGTGTTTCCGGAATCAACGTCAGAGAATTTGTACTCGAAAAAACAGGAGTCATTTAGTTTCACCCAGATTGTAATTCCAAGTGCCCAGATTGTTCTGAGTATTAGTCCTCCGCCTACTAAAAAACCATTTTTTAGAAGTTACGAAGCAAAATAATTTACTTCCAGTAAATTTTAACCTTGTCTTAAATAGACCGCGTTATTGTCTGTTAGAGTGCTTTGTTCGCATTTGTATGCTTTCCGTAAGACCTCATAGCTTTGCAACTTTTTCGAGCTGTCACGTCAGTTTTATCCTGTTTGTCACCAGGATCGCCGGCATTCTCATCACTGAATATTACACCATTCCTGGCTCTCCGTAGCAAACAACAGCAATCAGTTTGAGGAATCACAACGTAGAACGTTCTTCACTTACCTATCCTTGAAATAGTGGCCATTCTCAATGGCCAGTTTGGAAGCTCTTTTCTGCTCTAGCTTTGGTTCTGATGGCAGTGGGTTCCTCTATAGAGGAAGTCGATTGAACTTTTTGACATTATATTATCTAGTTCATGCACTTTTCTATCGTGAGTGGAGGTGAAAAACACCTCACTCTCTTAGCGACGTTTGTTTGAGTCAAGTGTATGTCCACAGGCAAAGGTCAAGCTAAAGAGAGACTCAGAGATAGAAATGCTCTTATGAAATCCGAGTTTCTACACATGACCTATCGCTACTATAATCACACATTGATAGTAAAACTAATTACCTTGTTCACACAAGATACGCGTGTCGTTCTTTTTGCAGACGTAATGGACTGTTGCTGAACCACGCATTCGCCATAATTGGAGGTATCATTATTGGACCAACTGTTTACGCGGCACAACCTGCTCTTCTGTATCTCGGCCGTTTTATAGTGGGTCTCAACTCCGGAATCACTATGGGTATAGCTCCAATGCTTCTGACAGAAGTAGCACCCCGTGAACTTCGGGGAGCCATTGGCGCATGCAACCAATTGGCCATCACCCTTGGAATTGCTTTCAGCTATCTCGTCACGCTCAGCCATGCACTTAATACGGAAACTCTATGGCCTATTGCGTGCTCTCTGGTTGGAGTACCTGCGCTTATTTCGCTAGTAACCCTACCCTTCTGCCCGGAAAGTCCGCGATGGCTGTTTGTGAAGAAAAACGATGAAACTGCGGCACGACTAGCCTTTGCCCGAATCAATTCAAAAGAGAGCGTGGAAACCTTCTTGGGAGAATTGCGCGAGGAAATGGAGGTGGCGAAAAACCAACCGGAGTTCAAATTCACTCAACTTTTCACGCAAAAAGATTTACGCATGCCTGTTCTGATTGGCTGCATCATCCAAGTGTTACAGCAACTTTCCGGTATAAATGCGGTAAGAAATTTTCATTTATTTTCCCTCTTCTAATGACATCATGGTTTTTCGCATCACACACCTAGCTAGCACAAACCATTGTTGTCACTGAAAGGTTGCGCTGAAGTTTTCCTGAGAGACAACTGGATTGCACGATTCTGTGATGGCTAGGCCTGATTAAAAAGCAGAATATTTTTTTAACAGGAAACCAATTTTTTAACGCCAACTTGCTTTCAATGGGAGGAATCTCTTAGTAACAAAGTAGGAGCGTTTCCTGATTGCCACAAGGAATAGGCCATTCCTCAGGACGATACAACTCAATGTCCTATACTTTTGTCACACTTGGTAGCCGATCCTTACGACAGCCAAGCATCAGTGTTGAACAGTGTTGTCATGCTGTCGATGATGATGGTGATGAACCTATCGTCAGGTTGAAACACTGACGCCACGATCACTGCCGATGCACAACTGTAATTTCAGTGGATCTTCCAGACCGGAGCGGACTGTGTTTGGCTGATAATTTAGTCTAGAACTGGTGGGATAGGCTCCTTGCGATAAGTCGCATTTGCCTTACAGGCTAATGGTAATGAAGTTGGGACATTGGATGTTTTGACTTACAATGACGTGACATTCATTAACGTTAAAGTCACTACCGTTGTTTTACTTGTCGCACTGCAATACTTTACGGCGTAAATGAACGAATGGTACCCTGTAACAAGTACCACGAAACTCACTGACTTTTAGTAGCCCAGATGACAGAAACCAACTTCCATTATTCGTCTCAGTCATAGTAAAATAGTGCTTCTCAGCCGTGGACATGCAAGACCACCGGGGTGGTCGACTAAGACGGACCGGGAAAAATTCATTGCACATCAAAGACGTCTGTTTGAGATAAGTGGATACAACTGAATTGTCTCAACTCCAGCCCAGGGAGTGTGTGGGATATGGTCGTTGTTCTACGTCTTTCCAGGAGGAAGTACTACCGTTGAGGAGATATTTTGATATCCCTCTAAAGTGTCCTTCATGCTTGTGGGAAAACATTATTTGACTGGGTCTTTTCAACCCCCTTCTATCAGTGATAACCCATTCAATCCACATTTCCTTTGTTGTTGTACTGTTCGTGTGTCATGAAGTTCGATGTATCTCATGAGCGTTCTGGCAGGACAATGACACAACTTGTCGGATATCTACTGAGACCATTTGTATATATTCCGCGGTATAGATGAGCCCATGCTTATCGCTGTAACCTCACCCTGCAGGTTTACATAACCACACGGAATCTAGGAAGCGTTTTTCTGTAGATTGATGTGAGTAAAATAAATAAGGTGACTGTTTGAAGAATTCGCAGTCAAGGAAGTTTATTATTAATTACCACTATTCACCAAAGAGCGCTTGACGTATTTATTCGTTTTTATTTGTGTCCACTGTCCTCACTCGCGTTGTTTGTTGCGATCTTTGGTGCATACCGTTGGAGCGTACACACACACAAACCGAGCTTGTCCGTTTACCTAAAGATCAGAACAGTAAAGTTTCGGTTGTAGGCTATGCTGCATCTCTGCCGCCGCGGTCAAAAACTCAGGTACAGGTGTGCGGCACAGACGGTGGTTTGCGTGCCGGATGCCAGGTACCAATAGAACGGCATTGTAGCTGGAGTTTCAGTTCAAAATCTTTGGCAAAACCTCGTGAATGCCTTAAGTCGCGATTACTGTTACCGCGAATGCCGGTTAATAGACGTACATGGCTGTTAGAGCTAATGGTCTTCGAGTCCTGTTTATGATTCCTTGCCATTCAAAGTTAATTTGGTGAAAAATGAAACCCGCTTTGATCGATAACTGATATATTTGAGGGGGCTTTTTGTAGACTTCAACCTCTTTCAGGGATTTGGCGACCACAGGTCTATGTAGCAACACCGTAATTGTTACCCAATCGTTTGTTGTATTCTTTTGAGCACATCACGGCGCTAGTGGATCGCTTCATTATTAGTGTGTTTCTGTGTGGAATACAACAAGCTACGCGCAAGTTGACGGCAAGGGTGTGGTCAAATCTCGGAAACAGCTACAAGAATGCTTTCGTTTTTATGGAGATTTGCCAGAAGAGCGTAAGGTGATCGGATTAGCAGTGATTAGCAGTTTCACGTTGCGACCTCTGAACCACTTATCCATCGACTGATCCATGCAGCCGGTGAAGTCGACCTTGAGGTGCTATTTTTGGCCTAAACAGACCAGTCGGTGGGTGATTTGTCCGGGGGTCACAGCCTGTGGACTCTTTATTGAAGGGTCGCATTTCCGACCCCTCTACACACGCCTCATGAATGTTAACAGAGACGAGAGCGCTCACGTGTCTCGTGTTTTTGGAGTTGATCACATTCTTACCTTAAGCATCCGATAATATTCCACATCAATGCCCTGGTCCCTCAAGAGGGCCGATGACTAATCAGTCGAAACTTTCCGACTACTTACCAGTAGTTGGTTCACTGTCTGAACTGGTCAACAGTCAGTTCGTCTAAAAATCACGCCTCGGCAACAAGTGCTTAAGATGAACGCTGGATTAAATGAACGCTTACGATGAGTAGCAGACCTGTGTTTCCTTCAGTGCATCTAAACTTTAGATTGGTATCGCTCATTACATTTTAACTATCATTGACAATTGTTGTGCAGGGTCCCGTCTCGGCGTGGGCTGTTATGAATGCTAGTTGTGCGGGTTCAAATGAAACTGCGTACCCAGACAGAGCAATGAACAGCTGGCATGCGTTTCAAAAAAACGTTGCATTTTTAATTTCTTGCCCTTTTTTGTCAAAATGTGTTATATTCACACGATCCAAGGTAGTTTCTGGTCGATCAAGCTGCCAAAAAATAGTTGGCCACAGGATTGCCTTGCTATTGTTTTTCAGTTTTCCTCGTGTCGGGTTCTAGAAAACGCGATTCGACCTACAACGATCGACAAGGTCTCAGTACTAGGATTAGAGTTCCAGAAGTTTCGCTTGAAAAAACATTTCGTTGCCGGAAATTTGCAGCTCACGAACCTAGAAGTTTCTCAGGCGTTTGGGACATTTTTTTCTTGCAATTGACTTAACTAAGTCGACCACGGGTCACATTGACACTTCAAGTGATGGGTGTAGACGGACCCCATCAATCACCTGTTTTATTGTACACCCTTAGTTCGTCGTCATTCCATGCATAACAGAAATGGCTGAATGATGACGGGTGATTTTTGTATAGATACCCGATTTTTTCAATCGTGAAACGTATCAGTAGATTTTATTGGCTGGGACGATGCATGTTGCTTTGAACGGTCCATTATTTCTACGTATTACATCCTTCCCGGTCTTGGGATGAAGCACCATGGGCACCGCTTACGTTCATGTGTACTAACCATGAAGTCAGTCGAATATTTTCCACCTGTCCGACAAAAACATCTGGTGCCGCACGCGTCACGATACACTCAAACTATGCAATTTTTTTCTTCCAAAATTTCAACATTCAGTGTTTGAAGTATTGAGCGACTGAAGAAATTCCAGGAAACTCTAACCCAACTCCAGTAAGATTTTTCCTCACGACGATGGTGTCTGTTTTTTCTGCAGGTTATCACTTATTCAGCATCGATGATGCAGACCGCTGGCGTCCCGAGCCAATATATTGAATACTGTGTGCTCGCGAATGGTGTCCTCAACGTCCTAATGACTGTGGTTGCCTTGCCATTATTGGAGCGTGCCGGAAGACGTACTCTACTTTTGTGGCCAACGCTGGTTCTTGCTGCTTCACTTCTTTTATTGACAATCACTGTAACATTGGCGAAAAAGCATCCGGAGGCTTCCGTCCAGCAGGCAATGGGTACCTTTTCGGCAGTTCTTGTGCTGGTTTACACGGCTGCCTTTGCACTGGGGCTTGGGCCTGTGCCGTCATTGATCGTGTCGGAAATTTTCAGGCAAGGTCCACGTGCTGCAGCCTACTCACTGAGTCAATCAATTCAATGGTTATCCAACTTGTTGGTGCTATTCAGTTACCCCAGCATCGACGTAAGTGTAGTGAAAATCACACTGGAAACCTAGTTTGTGTCACACTGCTCCTTTTGGTCAATTGAGCAGGTCAGGTCCTTCATATGTGAGCTCTACTGCAGTTACCTTTCGCAAAAAATAAAGACTTAACAAATCATCTCTTAGGTCCCATTGGCTTTCTGCAGTGCGCGGTCTAAGTGTGCATCCATCAATGTACGTTGATGATGTTGGTTTTATGGGTCAAACGCTGCAATGTCTTTACATTTATTTTGTTCGAAAGTGTACGTACAGCTTGCTTTACAGTCTTGCTTTACAATTGCTCATGATATAATGGCTCACCAGATTCCTGTGCACCAGCGTGGCTGAACTCAAGTTGTTAATGTTGCAACACACGGATCTGTCTGTCACGTCAGTGACCCAATAGAGTTGTCGTCATGATTTCATATCAACAACAGGCTCAGTGAGAACTCTAGGTAACTAGGTGGTTACGACGCGGGTTTACTGAGCGGATAGTCCGAGGTTCGAATCCAACCACTGCACCTCGACTTCTCCTCTCTAGACTTGGCATGGCAGTTTGGCATCGAAAGACTGTTACTGCTTAACCGTCATTAGTTTAGTAACTACTTGAGACTCAGTTATGCACTTGTTTTGGCTTAAAGCCACTGCAGCGTATTTTTAAGGGCAATGCATCCAGGGTTCAAAAAGGGGGTGAAACTAACCTTGTACTCCTGGGGTTGTAAATGCGAAACCTAATACCGTAAGGGTGTTACAGATGAACGATTATTTTTAATATTATTACTACAGGGCTATTGAGTTCACATATATCGCGTTCGAAAATGGTGTCCTGTTTTGAATAGCCTACGTCAGGGGGTTTAACTTTGTGCCGGCGGCCACTAATACATATTTACAAAAAACACTGTCACATGTTGCCTCGGTCCTTACTGAAGTCTGTCTGCAGGCAGCAAACGACTTGCTTACGCGGAACTATCGGAGCATTGATCCCGCCATATAGCTTATCAATTTTGTTTACAGAGTGAAACACTTTGATCGGCTGTTGACTTGGTTGGACAGAGTAACTGCCCGCAAATGGTCCGGTTTGTACTACTGAATCGCGAAGCATCTGACATGTGCTCCTCTGCAAGCTTGCGATTGAACATGGTGTTAGTATGAGATATGACTGTTTTCCCAATAGCTTAGCTGTAGTTGAATCTATGGGACCCACCGGATGCATCTTGAGGGATTATTATTTGCGTTTAACTGCTCATCATCTAGCACGATTAGTGTGATCACCATGCAATGCTTAAAGAAGTCTTTTGACGACAGAGGAACATTAAGGGATATCAGATAATTCCATGAGATCGCATTACTGCCTTTAATGAGATGTTGCACCGAATTCCAGATTCTTATTTCATGGTCGATCGGTCATTTAAATAGGACTATCAACACTTAAATTCGTTTTAAAGTCACGTTTGCTTTTAAAACTGTTGTCAAATGTGTGCACACTAAATGCTTACGTGGATCTCTTCATTTTTACACAAATTCTTTCTAGAAAAGACTCGAAGGGTACTCGTTTCTACCGTTCCTGGTGATCGTGATCTGCTGTTGGATATTCTTCTTCCTCTTCATGCCGGAAACACGCAATCGCACTTTCGATGAGGTCGCACGTGACCTGGCCTTTGGCAACATCGTGGTCGGCAAACGTTCCGCCACACTAGAGGACAGAACAATGGCTGTGTTCCAAAAAGACGAACGCAACCCGAACAATACAGAGCTTGTCGCAACACAACCGTTACTGAAGCAAAACGATGTCCACACCGTCCCATCTCTGATGGCATAGCTAGTAGATTATGCCATACCCGGCGACTGTCATACAATTTATTCGTAACCCTACGGACTGGGCGAGCATTCAGCACTACCATGTTCATCTCTTATCCATCCATCCACGTTTCCGCGTTCCACGTTCGCCTGCCTTTCTAAAGCTGTCATTCTGGTTTCGTATCCAATGGGACTGCCGTTCATTGTGACAGAGGGCAGCCAAACTTTCATCGTACAAAACCCTGGTCATTTTTTTCTATATTTTGTTACGTCTAGTCTGTTTTGCCTGCTGCAAATAGCCATCGCTGTGCACGTCCTCGACCGGCCGAATTGTGCCGCGTGTAGACCCGAAGCACTCAAACCCTTCATTGTATGCTGTATAGCTCACACACTCCACTATCTCTCCCCAGATATTCTCCATTGTTTACCTTGATTGTAGCATGGCTGGTGTGTATCAAAGCGAGCGCCACGCCTCAGTGATACTGCACCGTAATCTACTGTACTTCAAAAATTTTAGGGCTCTTGATCATTGGCGCTTTTATTTCCGTCCTTTCGTACCGCGGTTTCTAAGTAATTCCTTTGAATCATCAACCACCCTGTTCAAAAGCAACTTGTGTTTAAACTCCTGTCATTCAGTTGCTCCAATCGTTTTCAGCATCTTGGATGGGGCTTTTCAGTTGGGCCATAGGCAGGACCGTGTGCCGCGAATCACTTGCTCTGTGAGTGATTGCTAGCTGTCGTTTATGTCATATTTTGTAGTTCAACACTGGTGTGTCAAAACGACTATCATTCTATGGGGTTGGTTGCAAGTTATTGCGATAAAGGACACCTTAGAAAGAGATTCAGAAGATTTGCATCACATACGGAATCATGAACAAATGCCTCCATGTGTTCCAATGTTCACAACACAGCGGGAAACAGCTCACTCAGTGCAAGCGAACAACAAAATTGGTGTAAAAACTGGGAGTAAGCTAATTCAAGTTTGACTGAGTAGACTCATTTGAACGATCGACAGAAGTGGATTGGCTGTTATCAATGCATCAGGCAATTTTCACCCATACATACAAAGTAGCTAGGTGCTGAGATCAACATGAAGGACGTGGGAGAGCTTGGACGTCTTGAAATGTTTACAGTGTGAATTAAAAGGGTCGAGATGCGACAGCTATTAGTGAGGCTGTAGAAGCAATCTCTGTAATCTTGTCTAGCGTAATTGGACACATTACTCAAATCTGTCACGAAGTGACTTGGTATAAATATCTCTTCATGAATAGGAAGTGACGAAATAATCCAGAAGCCCTTTTCACCGATTCGAAGGCGATTAGCGGACTGAAAATTCACATTTATTGCAATCGTGCCTATGTTTCTCTTCACTCCATCTGTTGTTGCTTAAGAATGCCCTACAGGGCTGCTGATAGCACGTTAGGAAGAACTTAAACCAGCTTTTGATATCATACGGTACCCAAAACTGCCGCTAACTCGCCCTCCTTCTTTATGGTTTCGGCTTCCAGGTAAGCTAGTTACTTTAAGCTCGGAATAAAGAGAAAATTCGATGTTCTGGTCAATGATATACTCGACACCAGTTTGTTTCCACCATAAAGTTATAAAGTGTCCCTTTGATCTAACAATCTTCCTCGTAACGATGCCCTCGTTACTACGGCTGTGTGATTCTTCAGTTTTAGGCCAACGTGAAACCTTGCAGCGCCACATCAAAATTAGGCATGTTAGTTGCATCTTGTGTATGACAGGTGAGATCTCTTCTTTCGTCCAAGGAACGACATTTTTCTCGCTGTCGACTTGAGAAGAGAGATAGATGAAGGCATACAAAGGCGTTCAATCCAGGTTGTTGTGTAATCGCGTTGCTCGCTGAAACATTTGTGGCTGCCAAACTGTCAGAAATGACAACAGGGTTTCCGCGTGATTGCACTAGATAACATGATCCTTGTGATATGCACCCAGCACTTGTCTTTTGAGTTAAAGGCAGTCGGTTCCAGCTGGCGGTGAGGTACAGTTAGACCTGTTTACTTCCTGACTTACCTGATTCCCTGTATTTATTTGTATGCAGAGGGTGCTTGCAATCCTTAAAATACCTTGAAAACTGATATTGCTGGGCACATAAACTGAAGAAAAACCTATTCGAATCCGCTTTGGATCACAGCGTGACTTTCGTTTGCGGCGAACTAGCCGGGTCAAACAGACTGTAAGCTCGAGCTAATAACGAGCTCCATACAGTGTACCTAGATTTCCTCCTAATTCAAATGCGAATGACATTAAAGTGGTGTGAAAATAGAAGATCAATGGGAAAAATAATTGGTACGTGAGTTTCTTAACACAAGAGGAAGGCAGAGTCATCTCTGTGGTTGATTTTCAATTCTATAATACATACGTACATACATACATTCATACATATACCTCTTCAGTGTAAGAAAGTCACAATTGACCTCAGGAATTCTTTTAAACTATTTTGAGCGTGTGAAAGATGCCCTTTTGGTTAGCACGCAACTATTTATTTAATGTTTCTGAAACACGTTCTTCCTCTAGAATCACACATGCACTACAGACTGAAAAACTGAATGATGCCTCCTCAGAAACAGCACAGATGTGGCAGTTCACCTACAGCTATGGTAAAATTCACTCGCACATTCTGGATAGGTCACAAGCAAAATCAATCGGTACATGCATGTGGTATTGCGCTGCCAATAAGTTACGGACAATTGTGGCGTTTGTTGACAGTAGTACCATACTGCTATTTGGGATTTCGTCTTGCTAGTAAAGTCAATTCGAGAAGCACTACACGGCTAAATAACCCTTACCGTGATGCGCACTGCAGATAATTCCCAATAGGGTTGAAGTGCTCAAATGGAATTTCCTAATCACATCCTCCTATCAACAAACTATGAGTAGCTCACAGGGAAGAATAATTCGCACGAGACGTGAACCCGACACGTGAGAAGTTGTCACTTGAAAAGCCAGCGAACACATGAGCACGTGATGTGGATCACGCGATTGAAGACCGTCAATGTATCCTGTCCAAGTGCAAGTTAATCACAACGCTGATTAGCTTACCTTTGTCGACGAATTGTCGGGAGGCTGAGTGCAAAATTTCGTGAGGTTTCATGAGATATGTACTGCTGATTATTTTCAACAAGAATGGAACAGTTGTACAGTGCTCAGCTTTTTCGGCAAAGGGTAGCTTCACGTGCATGATGAAATTTTGAATGATGCCATTGGTTTATTATTCGTGGCGGGTAAGACAGGGGTCCAAGGGCAAGAATCTGCAAGCAATCTCAACCTGTTCACACATTTTGTCAGTTTTACTTGAAGTGCTCACAAACGGATGTACTACCTAAGCACATATTTAACGCTTTTTGTCTGTAGCCTTCACCAGCTTCGGAACCAATACTAGTTTGAGGGTCGATAACTGGAGTCGATGAATGAATGTCCCACTTCGACTCTGTATGACTAGCTTAGATATTGCTGTGGATTGTTAATCAGGTTTACCCGTTACAATTTTGGTATAGTGGTCCGATTAGAGACCAACCTCTGTAAATGACCACTTTGTCCCACTTCCAAAAACTTCATCGCGGAGCTGGTGGATAAAATTTAGGGCCTCGAACCTACATCAGAGTCTAATTGGTGTCTTTCTAGTACTGAAAATGCGCTTGACAACTAAACTCAACGTACAACTATCAAAACTGAGGACGTCTGTGAGCGTTGTGTCTCATTATGAGAACTTCTTTGAGGTTTTCTTTAACCTGGTTTTGTTATTTTACGTTGTGATTACTTCAAAATAGTAGGAAGTTCACTGGCTTGATGGTAGCTAAACTGTGTGGTTATCAATACAGCCGTACCTGCCCTGTCCTCTTGATGATCTTTCAATGAGAAGATAGCTGGCTGTTCATGTACCTGAATGGCTAAATACGGAACGTCCGAATCAGTCAAAGAAGACAGTGGGATAATGCTGAACTACCGTATGGCTTTGAAAACAATGATTGAAAGGTGGTAGTAACGTTGGAAACTACTTAAACCGGAAAATTAAACTTTCCGGTAAAGGCCGAGTGCGTCTCAGGCCTCAGATCACTTCATAGTCAGTCCACACAAACTTAAGCCAGCAACAATTAGCGGTTCAACCCCAAACATATAAGTCAGGTAGCATTCCCTCAGATCAGATCATTTCATGGTGATATGAGTCTCAGTGCTACAAATTTACAGTGGGGTTTAAGAAAACGTGAAAACAGAAGCAAAAGAGTGCAAGCAATTCCAGCTATATATATATTATATAAGCAAACTGAAAACCATGACATCAAACCGTCCCTTAAAAGGTGCATCACCCAGGTTTCGAACTAACCACGGAAGAACAGAGTTTTAAAGGATCGTGGGGTTTGGGTTTTGACCAAAATTGCAACTAATTCAGATTGAGAAGGATGAATAGGGCGTTTTAGGCATCCTATATCCCTCTGAAAAAAGCTGTGGCGGGCATTGTTGTGCTTTCTAATAACAAATTTGGCAGGTACGTCTCTTGATGCTCCACTGCTTTCGGAAGTATGCTTCAGGGACCTTATAATAAAGAGGAAATTGTCACCAAATGTTCCTGGGAGTGCGACAGGGAACAGCAAATAGAACACGAGAACACAGCTAGGGTAGAAAACTCCAGTGTGAGGTTCTGGGGTACAGGCAGCTTTCAGAATTTCAACATGTGAACTGCCATTTTCGGGTTTTTGTGTAAGTGGACAAAACAAAAGGGGACTTTCTGAGGTTGACGGAAGTGGTTGGTTCTGCGTACTTCACCGTGGGAGCTCATGAAATACAACCCGCATTCCTGCGACTTCCTAGAATGACGGAGAACNTATATATAACCTTACTGATTGAGCTATGCATGGTGTTAGGATACCCGTAGTCAATGAAAAAAGAAGAACTACTCATATGGACTGCTCTCATGAGAAGAAATAGCCCCTTGAATAACGCCCGTCGGTGTCGGACGGAAGGGGTGTATAAATTTGGCCAACTAGATCCACAAATCAGGTCCGGTTTTTGAAGCAGTCTCTCGGGAAGTTAGACTAGACCTCTCTATCATCACCTTTATAGAGAGGCCACAACGCCCTTTTGTAGAGACTGCAAAGAATATTCGTGTTTTCAAGTAAAAACAGCGGAACCACTTTCTTACTACGGACAAGTAAAGAAGCGATCTACTGTACTGGTTGGGGCAGTAGCGTCCAACGTCAAAAGACAGCAGGCAACAGCTTGGCAATGGTCTCAGTTTCAAAAGCGCAAATGGGCACTAGGCTGCCATCTTGATGAGCCTGTCTTAGACACTAGCGTAATCCTTAACAGCACATAAACACCACATCGCTGAGTGTCCACGCAAACCTCACACAATGTGGGATATAGGAGACCACGCTCACTCAGTCTCTCAGACTTGAGTTCTTCAGGTTGTGTGCACACTGCAACATACGTCATGATGGAAATATGGTTAGACTCTACGAAGAAGACGACGGATCCTCAAGAAATTGCCGGTGCTTTCTTGGTCTTTGGAAGGAGTTAGTGACTCAGCTTTCGGATGAGTTAGCAGATAGGTTCCGCACTTAAAAGTACAAGGATTCAAAAGTACAAGGATGACAAGGATAGTTTTACCCTTTTTCAAATCCTGATTGAATTGCCCTGACGCATACACTACAGTAGTTTAAAGCTAGTGTACGATTATGTTCGTCCATGACGACTGACCCTTAAGTAAATGCCTACAGAATACCAACAGAATGAAGCGCGAGAGCTAAGATAGTACCAGGTTGCCCGAGTCCAGAGAGGAGCAGTCGAGATGCAGTGGTTGTGTTCGAACTGCGGACCTTCCACCTTAACCACTTAGCTATCTCGTGGTCGTGTTCGAACTGCGAACCTTCCACCTTAACCACTTAGCTATCTCGAGCTCTCTGCCCACATTTATGTCACGGGCATGGATTATTATCACAGTAGTG